AAAAAAGTGTTCAAATTGGAAGGTGTTCGGATTAGCCAGGTGTTCAGATATACAGGTTTTACTGTACCTCTTAAAAGATCTGTGATATCTTATAGATTGGTGAAGTTGTTTAGGATTCAAAGTGCAAAAATGGAGAAAAATGTTTATATTCTGCCAAATGATAAATATAATAACCATGAATATAGAAAATAAAATAGGGGATGTTTAGAAAATAGACATGGCAAGGAATGATATGAGCAAAAAGTATTCTAAAATTGATACACTATTTTTGGTTAGCTTTCTCATCTTATTCTCCCTTTAACTCCACTATAAGAAGAATTCTGTACAGATGGATATAAACAGAGTATTGAATTCCCTGACATATATGCTAACTGCTAACATGTAGATCAGACAAGATTTGATAACTTTTCTCAAGAAACCCCTTGATCAATTGATACTTGGTGTAATATACAGAAACTGTATGAAGAAATTGTGTCTACTTGTATATAAATCAAGTCAGATAACAGAATTGAAAGCATCCCATGTTGTTTGAGATTGCCAATTTACTTGGAACACCAAACTTAATGTCAGAAAGCCATATTTTCTAATTAAGACTTAGCTGTATAAGATTGAGTCCAGGGTGTTAATGATTGACTAGAATGATAAATAAGCCAAGAGATACAAAAAATATTTTTCATTCAGTCTTCAGAGGCTGTAAGTCAAAGAGGCTAATCATTGTGATCATTTCACTTGGGATTTCTACCAAAATTATGCATTTTTGAATACTGTATATCTGATTATTCATCATTGTTATTTTTTAATAGTTGTGGGTATGATATGATTTAAGAAATCAGATTGAGCAGAAACATGGATAGATCACTTAAATATACCTTTTTAGACAAATGCATTTGAATTTTAAAATACAGTAGTTGTAGTTGCTGTATTTGATATTCCATATAATCAAGCATTGTTTTTTTTGGTAGGGTCAAAATATGAGCCACCGAAGGCCATTTTGGATATGTCAAGTTTCTTCTCAATATTGCTTCAAGCCATGTGCCCCCCCCCCCTATCTGTATACATCAGAGGTGATGTAGATAGAGATGTCCTCCCAATCATTTTTCCTCCTAATCATTTTGTATGTGAAAGGTACCAAACTTCAGGAAAGCAGCTGGGCAAGGTTGCAATATGATGGTTGAACCATGGATATTTTATGATGTTTAAACCCAACCAGCAGTTTCTCATCTCTAATGCATATTTGAATTGTCTTTCACAGTTATGACATTTTTGAAGAGAGGAAATAACCCAGAATTCAAAATAAATCTATCTTCATGTAAAAAATCACATGAAAATAGGTTCAATAGTTCATCTTTGAATTCTGGGTTATTTCCCCTTCTTACTTCTTTGATTTGTTTATATTTCTAGCAAGTTATGTTTTTGTTACAAATGCCAGCATTATGTTTGTTTACTCCTAATCCTTGTCTTGTTTTAGAAAATTAGAAGAGACTGGTCATTTTAAAACATATGGCTTGGATGTCAGGACTCTATCAGTTCACACATCATTGTTTAAAAAGAGGGATTTACATGTAAATTAGTAGAATAAGAATTTATGAGAGACTTGGGGCAATAAGTCTTGGGATGATTTGTGGGAAAGATTTATTTTATGGATAGGAGTACAAAGAGGGTGGACTAAGGTTAGAATGGGAACATTTCCTATTATCTTCAATCACCAAAAAATAAATGGCAAAATTAGCTACAAATTGAAGGTTTATCAATTCAGCAACAGCTTGGGTGTTTCCAGCAGTTACTTGCATGTAAATGAACAAAATTGCTTCATATCACCTGGTATAAACAGCTTTACCTGGCTAAGAGTATTTTTAGATACACAATTATGTTGAAGGATTTGTAGAAATTATCTTAACATTCCAATTAGGAATAACATTAAACAATGTTTACTGCAGAATGGTCCAATTAAAATGTATCCCTGCCCTATTTACCCAATAGATGGCACTGATGATTATTCAAATAAGCAAAACAATTTTTACTGCGGTGACATATTGGCGTAATCTCCAACCTTTTTGTTGCAGTGGTTTGGGGTTTGGCATTTGGTGGTTGGTGTGTGCAACAAATGTAACAAATGGCAGGTAGTGAGATTTTACATGTGAACGCCAAGAACGTTTCATCCATGTTTAAAAATGTGTTTCATTTATTTTTACACCTCATACCCCACCCAAGAGAAATTAGTTCATGAGTTGTGATCTGTATCAGTATGACACCTTTGCATTCAAGGTCTTTTGGGTCCATTTTTCATGTTTTGTAGAAGCCATGATATCTCCAGAGTGGTATAAGGATATATTAATCAAAGTCTTTTCTGAGTAGCATATCTCAAGAGTCCTTCAGAAATGTTGGAAAAGTGAGAATACATTACATGGAACTGACAGATACTTTCACATTTTGCAGTATTTTAAGTGGACCATCAATAGGATACCTAATGAAGTGTTACTAAGAATAGTTTGTAGAATTGTTATTACTAAGTAGGTCTGCTTTAACCCCTGGTTTAAGTTAAAATGCCAAAACCAGGGTCTGGAAAAGAGGATCCAAACATTAATTCATTGATATCTTTATTTATTTATATATAATTGAATATCACACTTGATGTAACAAAATATTTCTCACCTAAGTTTTCATCTTTGATACAGGCCTGATAAGTGGTGAGGAAGAGCACTAAACTATTTTATATTCTCCCAGTTGGGTAAGCTAGGCAAGCTCTTAGATTGAGTCCTAAACATATTAATGCAATATACTGTAATATTTAGTATTGTCAGAGGATGGTGTAGTATTAGTTAATATGCTCAGGGTAGTATAGCCAAACTTGTGAAAATAACCAAACTTGTGAAAATATATATATATCTCCAAGGAGATCTCTGGTATGTCATTCTGATACTCAGACCATCTCTGCTATGCACAAGAATGCTCTGATATACTTTGCACTGATTGCCGATCGAATGGGCGGGGCCTAGATTTATAATGATATTAATATATTCAATGACGTCAGAATTCTAACCAATCACAGTTGATGAATTTCTAAAATTAGAAAATATACCTTTTCCCCACGATGTTATACATGATTTGTAGTTCACTACAACCATGGTGCTTCAAAGTTATATATACCCGAGTTTCTTGGCAATCCATGCGTTTAAACCCGACTTATTTGAAGTTGAATTTATGAAACGAAAATGACGTCCGACATGACCTACATATTTTTTTCACTTTTAAAGATTTCTCTAACCTGTTGATCCTCGAGGGGTAAATATCTACTCACATCACGTATTTATCTCATTTTCTACACAAGTAGTCGATACCTAGTCCGTTTTCCATCGATTTGAACGTGTATTTAACAAGTTTAGAAAAATCCTTTTTTCCTAACGAGGTACCATTATCTTTCGGTCTATTTTTCTAACACTTCCGGGGGACTGTGATCGTGGTATCCAGCACAAACTCTTCCCGCTTCCAGTTTATTTTCTATCAATATATTATGGTATACACTTCTCTTGAATACATAAGCGCAAATGCCAAAAGGGAAGGGTACGTGATCGAAAACCTTAAACCTGCACATCGCTCCAAAATGCAATATGTTGACATATTGTTTTTACATTTTCAAGCTCTAATATAAAGTTTATGTAAATAAAAATTGTTTTTTCTGCGTAATATCAAAGAGCAATCATTTAGTTAAAAAAATTAAAAAAGCGAGGGTGGGTTTCGAACTCGGGCCTCCAGCGTGCTCAGCGAGAATTCTACCGCAGGACCACGGAGTCACATAGCTGCAAAGTGTAATTTAACGCTACTATATTGAAATTGAGCGATCTGATTGGTGGAGTTCTTACCCCCGCCACTCACTGTCACGTGACCTGTAAATACGGATTTGATTCGTCATATCACTTTGGCTGAATTCTGGACGGGCCACGCCCCCATCAGATCGAAGGCTATTGCCAAGTAACTCACGGCATTCTAGAAGGACACTGAGAGAAGGCTGTGATATCTCACGATGCTGGTATGTAGTGATGGACCAAATTTAGTTCACTGAGTTAATATATCAGAGTCCTGAATTTGTGTGCATATATGAGAAGTCATAATTGCAAAAATAGTTTATAGCAAGTTGAGTTATAACTCATATTTTTATGACCCCTGTTTTCAGACTACATGTAATTTCATTTTGTACTAAATTGCATCATAATTTAAGTTGTTAAAAGTGTAACATTTTTGCTCCAAAATTAATACAACTTTAGATTTTTCTTTTCTTTTTTTAATTCTCTGATTGAGTGATTTATTTTCAAGTGATTTGATATTGTTTGCATCAGAAATTTTGGACACTAGCTACAGGCCTGGATGGAAATATATCAATTTAGTGTTAAGTATTTTAGGTATGCCTGCCTAGCAGAAATTGAGGTTGCAGCTAATATCATATTTTCTTTTTATATATAAATCCACAAGATGTAATGGTAGGCATATATGTATGAACCGATATAAAGACAGCAATTGTATTCTCTGTTATAAAATGCTGGGGTGTCAAGAATGCTCTATATTCATCATGCCATTTTGTTGAGGTTTGGCCTATTAATTACATTTACTGAGAGGTGTTGGAAACTGCAAACTTTCATTGGTTTGGCTTCTTACTTGTTATTTCATCTCAAATTGATGTGTTTGTTACAACACCTTTCCTGTAGGATGCCTTGGTTTAATGATCAGACAATTAGTGTTAGAAAAATAGCAATTTCGCTTCCGCAAAGGTGTCTAATTGACTTGAATATTCAGTGAGAATTGCAAATTAAAGGAACCTTCTGGGGCATTGACATTGTCACTTCGTTTCCCTTGGCAATAGACTGCGAGATTGTTGGAACACTAAAAGCAAAACCAACTGCCAAGCCAATTAAATTTTGAAATTACTTTTTGACTTGTTGAGTTGTTTGATTGTTTTATTCTTAGACATTTTCCTCATTAACAAAGAAGACCTTGGTCAGAAGGAATTGAGTTTCCTGGTGTTTTATTCATAAATGACACTAATGAGAGGAGAACTGGCTCATGATGTAGTATACAGCCTCAAAGAATATAAATCACTGGACATTCGTTTACATAAATCAGATATAAAAAAGCTCTTTTGCAATGCTTGAAGTTTTAGTTTATTCAAATACAAAAGATGGCATTTTGGAGAACTAGGAACTAGTTCAGTTGTTCTGGTAACTGATCCAGTGTTACCAACAAAGATAAGTGTGGTTGCCAGGTAACTGCAGCTGAAACTAGGGATTGACCTCTTTCTAACTGGCATATCTATAGCAAGACTTGTATGTAGGCAGTTGTTAGCAGTTTGACATAGTGCCACAACCTTAACTCCCCTTGCAGAGTTCCCCTGTGCAGCTTTAACTGCTGAACTCGAACAGGGTGTTGAGGAAAATGATGCAAGGGAGCAGGCCACAATCTGGTTTCTGTTAGGCTTGCCCAGATCAGATTACGAACAAAGTTGAGAAAATGCCAAGTCATCACACAGCTTAGTTTTATAGTGATACCAAACTTCTTGGATACTGAAGTAGCTAATTTCTGACTAAACATTTGTTCCCCTTGGAAACCACGCTGTATGAGAGATAGCGGAAGCTGATTTTGGATAAAGACGTCATTCACCTTGCTGTATTGTATATTATATATTAGAATATACCTATAATTTGGAACAGTTGCTACAGATACTTGATTTAGACCAAGGTTACAGGTTTTAATACATGATGGAGGTCTTTGCTGTAAGTATATATTTGTACATTTGTTAATTTTATGGATTGTTTGAGTATTGATATTGAATCACCACTTGTTGAATATTCACAAATGGTAAGGTTGCACCATTTGGACTTTATCCGCTTTATTTGTGGTATGACTTGAATATTTTGAATAGGCCAACAGCCTTCATGCCTTGAGTCATCCTCCTTCATCAACTTCATTGTTCATTTAAGTCATACAAAAAGGATTTGACCTTACATGAGTCTAGATCTTTTCTTTCAGACAATGAGTGAAACAATATATGATTTATTCAACAACATTTGATTTTAGTGTGTCATGGGTTTAAAGATATAGTTTCAAAATCAATAATAATACATATTAGTATCAAATCCATTGAAATTAGTGTTAATGAAAGTCAAAAAATCATTCTCAACTTTGGCATCATCATTGAAATCAATGTTTACGTTCTACATAAACACAATGTTAGATTTATGAATATTTGTTATTCACTTTAGTTCATTAATTACATCCTAGTCTAATCTGTTGAAAGAAAACAGAGTCTGTTGGGAATATAAGTCTTATCTGCCCATACATAATCACGTGCTTTGGTCATATGTATCTGGACTTTCCCATTCCAGAGAACTGAATACATGAATATGTTCGTTATCTTTGGCTCATATATATTCAATGGTATTAACTTTTTATTATAGTTTGCACCATTTCTTGGTATTACATCGATATTTCATGTTATTTTCTGCTAAAGACATGGCTTTTGTGATGTATTCTCTTGGGGAAGGTTATGCAATGTAACATCAGTAGTGTGGATTAAGAGATAAGCCAATTAGGAGTTAATCCCATGCCACATGGTCCAGAGCCTGGAGATAAAGATAATCTAATATTTGATGGTTAATCCAATATGTCAAAAGACTCAATGGTGGCTTCTGGGGAAGATGATCACAAAGGGTTTGAACCTTGAATGGTTTAATGTTAGGGTGATCTCATCTTCTATGGGGGTGTTATTCCAGTCATTGATTCATTTAGTTGTCCCTGTCATTTCCACATGCCTCTTCAAGCACATCTTTATGTCCTTCAACAACATTTGCATCTTAACATTTTGATTATTGGCACTAATGTGTTCTCAAGTTTTATGATTGTAAACTGGGAGTCCATTTTTACTTTTTTGTAATGTTTCATATATTGGCCTTAATTTTTTTGAATGAATGTCTTTGTTGACTAAGATCTTTAGACTTTAAAACTGTGAATCTTAGATGAACTCTTAATAGTAATTTTACCTGTTTGAACTTAGTTCTAAATACCTTCAGGGAATAGTGAACTCTGTTATTAAATCACATCTCTCAGATAAAAAATGTGGAGTAAAGCTTTCTTGACTTAAAGGTACACATATAGAGGGAGAAGGAAGCTCAGTCACTAGAGGAACCCCCAAAATTATTTTACATTCGTGACAGACAAAAAACAGATATCTTTATAAATTGGGCAAAACCTTATATGAAGGGTTGGTTAATCATGGTTAAACTACTTTATTTTGCTATACATATGCATTCTACTTAATTTTTAAGAAGGAACATCCTTATTTGTACTGAGAACTTAGAGATTTAAAGGCCTCCTTGACAAATCTCGTCATTGTAAAAACACACTAGCATCATATAAACAGAAATGTTATCTCATCTTCTAGAATCTGGATGCCTTAGGAACTCATTTTTGTAGTATCATGTAAAAGAAAAAATATATAAAAACCTTGGGAACTACATTCTGATTTAATTTGAGTTCCTCTTTATCTTTTCTTCTAACACATGTATCTGCTCCCCCTCAGAGAGTGTAGCAGCTGTAGAACCAATAATGGGAGAACCTGGGTATCTGGGTATCATTAGCACATGTGTGCTGGGATTTGTCATAAGATATGCTGTAATCTTGCACATATATGCTGGGAATTGTCATAAGATATGCCATTATCTAAATATCCTCCCATATCAAGTTATGACTTCTCACCTCATACTACTCAGCACATGTTTACAACTCTGGGACCTCTCCCTTTCTACATCCTAGAAAAATATTGGAGAATGCATGAGACCCATTTTTTAGGTCAGGTGCCCTGTTTGTGTATTACCTTTGAGAGATATCTGCTGTCTTCCAGAGATGGTACCCACAATAACCCACAATACATGAAACCCTTTTTATGGATACAATAAAAAGATGATGAATGGATTAGACAATTGTGATGACACGGGAAGGGTTTATCATGAAGTATAATGTCTTGTCAAATGGTATGACATATCCATCTGCTTATTTGAAAAATGTTGATCCACATTTTGAAATCTAGAAACACTGTACCTGAAGTATGTATTGTTAAATTCAGGAATGTATCCTGATCTACTATATCTGTACCAAATCCAAGATCTGGTTCTTCTTGTTATCTGGTTATGGCATTGACAGATTCTACTGTTTGATACTATCTAGTGTGACTTATGAACAACACTTGACCCTGTATAGCCCCCTTTACAAGGGTTTGTGTTTCAAATACTGTATAGAATTCACTTTTTTCTCACATGTTACATATATGTAAGTAATTTGGCATTTGATAATTTTAATCATTATTCCCATGTAAATATATTTTTCTGAATGTAAAACTTAATTGACTTTTGAAAGGGAAATGAGGGGGCTTCAACAATCAAAATTATCACTTTTTATGGACATGCCACTATCTTCTTCATAGATACAGTAAAATAACCTATTATAAATCTTCCTGGTATTCTGGAAAAGGTTAAGACATTGATATATTTGTGGTCAAGTCATTTGCAACATTCTCTGGTCTGTTTTTAGACATCAACTGTTTTTGTATATCTATGTGTGTTCCTGATCATCTTGAAAGGGAGTCATCAAATTATCCATGGCTTAAAATTCTGTGAACACAGTCTCAGAATATAGTGATCAAAATGAAATATTTAGATGTGGTTTTAATGCTTCTTGCAATTTTCATTATATTTTGAGGTTCCTCTTTTGTGCAGTAAGGTAGAATTATTTTTACTCAATCCAGTCTATCTTTGCCTTTAAGGTCATGTTGTTTCAGTATTTTTGGTAACAAGGTAGTTGTAGTTTCAAACAGATTGTGGCCTAATTTTGAAAAACAATACTTGTTTTTGGGATGTTGATTGACAAGACTGCAATATGAAAGACCTGTGATTCTGAATCGTTTATTGCAATATTTCACGATTTCTTTATTTCTAATTATAGCATTGTTAAAAACAAGTGAATAACAAAAAATATTTAATTGCCTTTTGTTATCTTGTAAACCAGTTGTTTATTCCAGAATAAATATTTATGAAAAGTTCAACTTGTACTTGATAACTTCAAGAACTCCAGGCCCTAAGTCATATCCTATAGTGGCCACTTTCATACCTCAAACAAACCACTGATTCTGGAATTAGCATAGTGTCCCAGTCTCACCCAGATTTGCTCATTGATTCCAGTGTTAATTACTAGTCTTTTCCAAGTCAAACCATTTGGGACACTCACCAGCCCCTTGTCAAACATACCCCACTTTCAGAATATGATCAAGGAGAATGATCAGGGTCCTGGTCAAATACTCTTTAAAGAAAAATGTTGCTTAGTAACTGTATTCATGTTCACATGAGAATAAATTATCTGTGTTAAAATGTAGGAATTACATTCATGAATGTCAGTGTCCTTGGATGAATTTCAATCTGGAACAAAACAGCTAACATTAAACTTTGCTAAACAGCAACATTTCAGTGAAAGAATGTAAGTAAAATAAATCAGTGAATTCACTTTTGTATAAACAATCGTGATGAAGTGTGTGATAATGGGAGAATTTAATTGTGTAGCACAAACATCATTTTTTACAGACAAAACATATTGTGTTACCAGTTATATAGTTTAACGTTATTCTGGTATAAATAATATATGTATGTAAATGGTTTATGGATCATCATGCATATTTGTTGTATGGTTTAATATGAAGAGGCTAAATGGAATGGGAGGTTGATAATATGGTACTGAGAGAAATACCTCTAACATTTGAATATTAAGTTCACATGTATTAATACCTTTTCAACTTTGCTTCTAAAAAGAGAGATTCATCTTCACTCTTTCAGTAATAAATCTCTGGCCTTTCTTTTAATGTTATCCTTGCCCTTTTCAATTGCTGCTTCCACTTGTTTGAAATAGCTTCTGTACATGTATCTTGGGGGAGGTTGTCCTTGTTCGTGGATCATTGGTAAAGAAGTCAAGCACAATAGAAATGATACTTTTAGAAAAGCATAGAACAAAGGGTTCTTAAGAATAGAAGATGATTGAAATGATTCAGTACTATTATCTGGAAATATCTTGAAAGATAAGTTGCTGAACTACAAATGTCTCATGATTTTACCAATAGTGACATCATGAATGACAATTTAATTTCACAGTTGTAATTCAAGATCTTTTCATGAAATAATGGCATCATTGTAAACTACAATATAAGGAGTCTCTTGACAGATAGAACTGAATAGGATCAGCAAATTCCATGGTTTTCCCTTTTAACTGTCTTACTATAACAAAGTGAACAAACGTAAAGGATTAGAATGAGCTTAATTCTTAGAAAGGAAGCCTAATTGAAGGGTATTTGCTGAAATTACTTTATAAGACAAATGACATTGTCACAGAAATAAGGATCTTCCCTAAACAGCAAATTCCTTTTGACTTCCCTGTATCTTATTGCCATGGCAACTGTAAGTTCTAACTGCCTGAATATGTTTTCATTTGCACTCTGTAAGTGCAACTCAAAGTGGATACATGTTATTTTAAGATATAAGGTATAATGAGAAAGAAAGGAGTTTATTTTTCCCCAGAACCCCATTGATCAAGTACCCTGTATGCAGAGTTTAGTTAGACGAAGCTCTCTTTTAAGAAGTCGAACAAATGCAAAGGGTATTGCTCAACTCATGAATCTAAAGAATTTTGGACAGTTTAATAAACATTATACAAAATATGTAATAAGCGTCAAATGATA